AAAAAAAAAAAAATTAGATTAAAATCAGAAAAAAAAAAAGAAGAAAAACAAAACAATATATTTATATTTGTTTTATAGGTGTTCAATACTGTCACATCTAAAAGAAAAAAGGAAACATTTTGACCATATAAATTTTCAGACTTGCAAAGAGCTACAATTGCAGCACAAACAATCTATGCAGATAATCCAGAACAACCGAAAAATCGGTCTTCTTGGGTTCTAAAACGTCTTGTAAGCTATTGAATTTCTAAATAAAGAAAAGAAGTTTTTTTAGTAAAAAGATTTTTTATTTTATCACCTACAGTTACTACAAAAGATTACCAGTTTTTTAAACTTTTCAAATGTTTTATCTATTTCAAGAAATGTTAAAAGTATTATAATTGTCATCTTGCAATGTTTCAATATTTTTTTTGCTCAATATTTGCTGTTGTTGTTGAAAATAAAATATAAAAAATTCAGCAATTCAAGCCTGAAAAATGGTAGTGTAGCAATGGTTAAAAAATTTTGAGCTATTGGAACTACAGCATTGTTCTGTGTTTTAATCGTTCTGTAAAGCAACCGGAACCGAGAGGAGTTGCTATTACTTGTTGCTAACCTAGAACATATATTGCAGTTTGAATGGTCTCATCGAGCAAAAAGTCGTGAACTATTACGACATGTTCAAGCAGCCCTGATTGAAGGTACTGCTGACAAAGAATTTGACGACGAGGATATTGAAAAGCTGCTTGTTAGTTCTTCGTTTTTTTTTTTTTCTTGTTAACACTATTCTCGCTTGAGTATGGCAGTTTTAAAACATAGCTTTGACCCAAATTCTTCAGCGAAAACATTGTAATACTGTAATAACAGGAACTGATATAGTGGTAGCGAAATAGAAGTAAGCCTATGTTGTCGTAAAATTGTATGAGCAAAAATTAAGAAAGTTAGTGCACAGTTGCCTCAAGATCAAAAGACAGCATTTCTATTGTATTATTCTAAAAGTGAATATTACTGCACAATTTCTTCTTCAAGACTGTAACGTGGAATGAACTTTTTGCTGTAAATGAAAATTTGTCGCTGAAAGACAGAAGGAGACTTCAAGCGCTCTGGGAATTATTCAACAGTGAACTAAAGTACTTTGTCAAGCAGTTACTCGTATTAAAGTAGGTTTTGATTTTTTTCAAAAAATAAAATTTTGTTTTTTGGGAAGGTATGGAAGCCAATTTAGTTTATCATTTTGAATTGGATGCACACCGAACCAGTGGAGATGGTTGATCAAATGAAAACAACGGCAATATTGAACTACGTGCTGGCAACTAAACTGTTGCATTCTTTTATTTAAGTTTTTTTCAGTAACAGCATTAATTTTAGGAACGTCTTCAAAGAACCGCTCAAGAAGTGCCAAGTAGAAGGGTGCCTGTTAACCGTCGAACCAGACTTATTATTTGGTAACTTGGATCAGCTCTGTCGAGTTAGTGTTTAACCCATTTTCTGATCTTGATTTGAAATGCACAGTTATTTTTTAGCAGATGGACCGAGTGCGTTTGTTGACTAAACACCATCTCTGTTTAACAACGGTTTAAAATCA